AAATTGAGTCAGTAATCCAAAATCTCCCAAGAAAGAAAATCCAGGACCAGATGGCTTCCCAAAGAAATTCTACCAGACATTTAAAGAGTTAAACATTCTTCTCAATCAATTCAAAAAACAAAAAAAAGAAAAAAGAAAAGAGAGAGAGAAGAAGAAGAAAAAGAAATGGAAGGAAAATTTCCAAACTAATTAGATGGACCCAGCATTATCTTGATCCAAAACCAGAAGACCCCACTAAATAGGAGAATTATGAGAAAATATTCCTGATGAATATGGATGCAAAAATTATCAACAAGATACCCCCAAATTGGATCCAACAGTAATTAAAAGACTTATTCACCTTGATGAAGTGGGATTTATTTTTGGGCTGCAGTGGTAGTTCAAAAGATGCCAAAAAAAGCAATAGATGAATGTAGTATCCTTTCATGATAAAAAAAAAAAAAGTGTAAAATGGGTATAAAAGTATAATAACTCCAAACAAATTTATGTAACAATCCCCCATATAACTTTATATTCAATAGTGAAATATTTTTCTGTAAAATCAGAAACAAAACAGAGGTGCCCTTCCTTATTAATCCTATTCAAAATGTACTGGAAATCTTAGCTAGAACAAACAAACAAGGAAAAAAAAACCATCCTATTTTAACAGGATAAGTAATACTTTGTTTCCATATGATATAAACTTATACACAGAAAATCCTAAAATGTCCACGAGAAATTTGTTGGAATTAATCAACAATTATAGTAAAGTAGTTGAATATAAACCAACATACAGAAAATATTTGTGTTTGGGTGCCTGGGTGGCTCAGTCATTTAAGCCTCTGACTAGATCATAATCTCATTGTTTGTAGGTTTGAATCCCGTGTTGGACAGCACAGAACCTCCTTGGGATTCTCTCTCCCTCTCTCTGCCCTTCCCTAGCACTCACTCTCTCTCATAATAACATAAATAAACTGTATAAAATAAATTATTTGTATTTGTATAATCAACAGAACATTTAAAAATAAAGAAAAAATCTTATTCATAATAGGATCACAAATAATTCAATCTGAAATACATTTAACCAAGAAAGTTCTCCATACAAAGAAATGTGTTTGATTTTTAAAAATTGATGAACATATAGGGGCTACTCAGTGGCTCAATGGATGACTCTGATTTTTGGCTCAGGTCATGATCTCACAGTTCCTGAATTCAAGCCTGGAATTGAGCTCTAAGCTGAAAGTGCAGAGATTGCTTGGAATTCTCTGTCTCTCTCTCTCTCATTCACTCTCTGTCCCTACCCCACTCCTGCATGATCTTCCTCTTTTTCTCTCTCTCAAATAAGTACACTTTAAAAATTAAAAATTAAAAAAATTAAAATTGATGAATATACAAATAAATGAAAACATATTTCATTTTTATGAGTTGGAAGAATTAATATTGCTACATATTTGTCATGCTAATAGATATCTATAGATTCAATGCAATTCTTCAAAATTTCAATGGCATTTTTCACAGATGTAGCATAAGTACTTCTAAAATTTGTATGAATCCAGTAAAACCAAATAGCCTAAGCACTGAGAAACACCAAGATAAAGGTATCATACTTTCTGATTACAACACATACTACAAGTTTTGTACTTTGTATTTGTAATTTGTAATTTGTTTATTTGCAACTACAAATATTGCTATAACCACAATAGGGCACTGGTATAAAAATAGAAACATAGACCAATAGAAAACAATTGAGAGTCTAGAAATAAACCCTCACATATACGGTCAACTAATATTTAACAAGGATTCGAAGAAAGGTCAAAGGAGAAAGGAGAGTCTCTTCAACAAATAATATTGAGAAAAATGTATAGCTTTGTATAGAAGAAATTGGACCCCCATATTATGTCCCCCAGAAAATTTAACTCAGTATATGTTAAGGATTGAAATATACTATCCCAAACCATAAAACTCCTAGAAGAAAATATAAGAAGAAAAACTCTGGCCTTTGACAGTGTTTCCTGGATATAATACCAAAAGTCCAAGCATCAAAACAAAAATGAATTTTTGATTACCTCAAACTTTTGCACAACAAATGAAACAACCAAGAACATGAAAAGGCATTCTACAGAATGGGAAAACATTTTTGTAAATAATGTATAATGGGTAATAAAAAAATTATACAAAAAAACCCCTTCATCTAAGTCAGCTCAACGGCAGAAAATAAATCTGATGAAGAAATTGGCAAAAGAAGTCAGTAGACATTTCCAAAAGTGAAATACAAATGATCACCAGGTACACAAAATGATGCTTAATCACTAATCACTAATATAACAAATGTATTTCAAAACTAGAATGAGTTTCACTTCACATATTTTAGATTGGCCATCATCAAAACAACATGTGATAACAAGTGTTGGTAAATATGTGGAAAAGGATATCCTGGTGCTGTGTTGGTGGGAAAGTAAATTGGTTCAGACGTTACATTATGATCCAGCAATCCCAATTCTGGGTATATATCAAAAGAAAACAAAAACAGTCTCAAAGATATGGCCCTCCTATGTTCACAGTAGCCGAGAATTGAGACAACCGAAGTATCTGTGAATGAATGGATGAATGAATGAATTAAAAAATAGACAAAGAAGATGTGGTATATATTTATGGTGTGTATATATAGGATATTTATTTCATATAAAATATTTAGTTAATTTGATATAATAAAATGAATACCTCATTACATGCAGTCTAATTTTCATTACTGATAAAATCATCTGAATTAATTGGACATTTGTGGGGTACCTGGGTGGCTCCTCAGTTAAGTGTTGGACTTCAATCAGGTCATAATCTCACAGTTCGTGGGTTCAAGTCCCATGTCCAGCTCTGTGAGAACAGCTCCAGATCCTGTAGCCTGATTCAGATTCTGTGTCTCCTTCTCTCTCTGTCTCTCGCCTCTTCATGCTCTCTATCTCTTTCTCTTTCTCAAAAATGAATAAACATTAACAAATGTATTGGTTCCTTTGCAATAATTTTTAGGATGAAATGCTAAAAATATAAACCTATGTGTATATATAAAATAAGACATAATTTTAAAGATGCGCTTATACTGTGTATTTTCTTCTAACACAGGATGGGTGCTTTTATTCTACCACGTGTAATGTATATATGTACGTGTATGTATATATATTTCTCACTTCAGTAACAAAGATTTCAAAACAAACTATTGAAATAACAATGAATGTTTCAAGAGGGGTTGGGAAATTTTCGGTTTGCTTGTTTTTATTTTTATTTATTTTTAAACCTTAGTCTTTTTTTAAATGTTTTATTTGTTTCTGAGAGAGAGAGACAGCGTGAGCAGGGGAGTGTCAGAGAGAGAGAGGGAGACACAGAATCTGAAAAAGCCTCCAGGCTCTGAGCTAGCTGTGAGCACAGAGCCCGACGCGAACCATGAGACCATGACCTGAGCCAAAGTCGGATGCTTAACCAACTGAGCCACCTAGGTGCCCCGGTTTGCTTGCTTTTAGAAACTTCTGAGAGAGGGCAGAGTGATACATATAGTTATATTAGTTTGTAATTTAATGTAATGCTGACATTTTGTCTCTTAATTACCCTCTCAAATAAGCTTGAAAGGAAGCAAGAACAGAAATTGCTTGTGCTTGTTAGACTGTTTTTGGTCCTTCTCTGCATCACTTTCTCTGTACAGAGGCGGAAACTTCTGGCTCAGATTTTCACAATAAAAAATGATCCAGGAGTACTAAGACAAAGAGGCAATGGATACATGGAGATTCTTACATACAGTACTTGCTAACATCATTGTGTAAGAAAACAGGGATCATGGATTTCAAAATTATGTGTTTTCACTACTTATAATCCATATTAATAGAAATTTAATGTTATTTATTAAATAACTTTTAATAAATATTATTCATAGTAATATTATTAACTAAATAATATTTAATATATGAGTATATTAAATAGATTACACAGGTAATGTATTAAATTACATACTAATAATATAGGTAATACACAGTGAATAAACACTATTAAATACACATTAATTGATTTTTTCTGTATTATTGTTATAAAGGTGATATAATCATACTATACTTAAGTATACAGCATAATAATTATATATACACATCCATTTATATATGTACATACATTTACATATACATACATGTATATATACATATATATCTACTATAAATATATAGTAAAGTGACTATCAAAAAAAGTTTAGTTACCATCTATCACCACACATAGTTACACTTCACTTTCTTCTGATGAGAACTTCTCAAACCTACTCTCTTATCAACTTCAAATGTAGAAATGTACAATAGAACAGTGTTAACCAGAGTCACCGTTCATCACGCTGTTCATTACATAGCAGAATTTACTTATTTTTAACTTTATTATTTTTAACTGTATTTTATAACTAGTAGTTTTTAGGGTGTGAACACCTGTACCTATTTTTCCTATATTTTTATGAATTTTTGATAATTTGTTCTAATATTGGAATTATAATTTTACTCTTTCATAAAATACAAAAGTTCTGTGGAAAGATTGGTAGATCCCACAAAATATTACTATATTATAAAAGATAATTTTTATACTTTCTGAGAATTTTAGAGGGAAGAAACAGTATATTTTTAGATGTATGCGTTTCTTTTAAAATTGTTTTAAATATTTAAATTATTTTTGAGAGAGAGAAAGAATGTGAGCAGGGAAGGGGTAGAGAGAGAGGGAGACTCAGAATCCAAAGCAGGCTCGATACTCTGAGCTGTCAACACAGAGCCTGATGTGGGGCTCAAACAAACCACAAGATCGTGACCTGAGGTGAAGTCATATGGTTAACCAACTGAGCCACACAGATGCCCTTAGATGCATGTGTTTCTAAAACCAATACCTAAGAAACTTTATTATTATCAAGTTTTGAAAATATCCACTTCTTTCTATGGTTGATGGGATAGTAACTTATTTTATTTCTATATTAATATAGAAAACACATAATTCATGTATTTTTCTTACTATCTTTAATGGAGAAAGTTACTTTTGAGCATAGTTTTCATTGCTTCTAGGACATCTTTATTCCTAAAGCTGTAGATGATAGGGTTGAGTGTGGGTGTGAGAATGGTATAGAATATTGCCAAATACTTGTCCTGGCCTGGAGTGTGGTATGATTTGGGTCTCATGTATGTGAAAATAAATGGTCCATAGTACATTGTGACCACCATCATGTGGAAGGAACAGGTGGAAAATGACTTTTTACGTGCTTCTGATGATTTCATTTGAAGGACAGTAAGGAGAACTTGGACATAAGAAGCAAAAATTAGGGAAAAAGGGACAAGCAGAAAAATTAAGCCACTTACATAAACTCCTCGTTCATAGAGTGTTGTGTCCACACAGGACAGCTTCAACATGGCAGGGACTTCACAGAAAAAGTGATCAATAGCTCTTGAGCGACAGAAGGGAAAGTGGAGAGCATAAGCTGTATGGACTATGGAGTTGACCGTTCCGATAATCCAGGACCCTCCAGCCATCACAGCGCAGACATAGTCATTCATAAGAACGGGATAGTGCAGTGGATGACAGATAGCTACATAGCGATCATAAGACATTGCTGCCAAGAGAAGGCACTCGCCACCCAGTAGGGTGAGTGATAGAAATACCTGGAAGCCACAACCTACAAGTGAAATAGTTCTACTGCCTGACAGAAAGTCAGTGACCATTTTAGGAACGATGTTGGAAATATGCAAGATGTCCATAAAAGACAAATGACTCAGCAGGAAATACATCGGAGTGTGGAGTCTTGAGTCCCTGAGGATAAGGAGGATCATGACTGTGTTTTCTATTATAGTCGTAATGAAAATGATGAATATAAAGGAAAAGAAAACTAGACTTAATCGAGAAGAAGAGAAGAGTCCCAAAAGAATGAAATCACTGGTGAAAGTATGATTTTCATGCCCCATCATGACTTTCTCTCTCTTTCCTAAAGTAGAAAATAAAATAGAGCTAAAAAGTAGTAGTGTAAATATCAAACACATTTACAAGCATAATACAATGAGAGTTAGTGATGCATATTTTTGCAATTAAAGTCAATGGAATCTCAACCAGCTTTTGAAGTGGGCTTGTTTCACAACATGGCCATTTATTTGTTTGAATCAATGGATGATATTGAGTATATTGAGTGAGCTATTAGCTCCATATAGTCTCAGAGTCTTAATTCCATATTCTTTATTCTAGTTTAGTCTTTGTCAAATATCACCTTTTCCAGGAGCCCTATCCCTAAACACGGTTTTTACTTTGTTTGTTTGTTTGTTTGTTGTTTGCTTATTCATTCATTTGTTCATTCACTCATTTAAAATTTTTATTTAAATTCTAGTTAGTTAACATGTAGTGTAATATTGGTTTCAGGAGTAGAAATTAGTGATTCATCACTTACATGTAACATTCAGTGCTCATGACAACAAGAGCCCTCCTTAATGCTCACACCCATTTAGCCCATCCTCTACCCTCCTCCCCTCCAGCAACCTTAAGTCTGTTCTCTATATTTAGGAGAATTTTATGGTTTGCCTCCTTCTCTTTTTCCTTTTCCTTATGTTCAGTGTTTTGTTTCCTAAATCCCAAAAATGATCGGAATTATATAGTACTTGTGTTTCACTGACTGACTTATCTTGCTTAGCATAATATACTCTAGCTCCAAGCACATCCTGACAAATGACAAGATTTCATTCTTTTTGATGACTGAATTATATTCCATTACATTTATATGCCACATCTTCTTTATCTATTTATCAGTCGATGGACATTTGGACTTTTTCCATAATATAAAATGTCAGTATCAGCACCCACACCCCAACTACCACATTTCTCTTCTGCTCTCTTTGATGTTTTTGCAAATCAATTTTCATCGTCTATATATTAAATAAATCTATGAACTACATCCTTGTTTGTTTTCATTCTAACCCACCAGAACTTGAATTTCCCAATTGTAAACATTCATTAGAACCCTGTATTAGATGAATGGCTAACACAATGCTTAGTACATTGTGTTGCTGAATAATGTATTTTCAACACATGAGTAAATGAATAGGATATGGAAATCAATTTTCAGTCTCATTTTTATCTGGATAAAGATTAAAGAAAATGAAATGTATTATTTCTAAATCTTTCTAAAGTAATAAGTAACAAAATACTATAAAAACTAGCTCCATCTATTATTTGCAATTTGAAATATCAGTATTTACATGTAAATACATGAAAAATTTATTCAATTAAAATAAAAATATACTTTATTTTAACTAGTTTTATTAACTTCTAGAAATTGAATTATATTTTATTAATTCTTTACATAGGGAATCATGTTGTCTCCTAAATACTTATGTTGTTTATATGTGGATACTGGCTATTTAACTGTTCCCTTTGCTATTATGTGCAGAAACAGTACATATGACCTATCCTTTAGTAAATAGATATACACATATACATATTTCACACACACACAATTTTATGATTTAGGAAAATACAGATGCAAATCCTGAAAAATAACTAACAAATAAAAAACAAGTTATTTTCCATTTTTAAGAAATATTCATAAGTTTGAATGAAAGGAGTTTTGGCTTTTACTTTGGGGATGAAAATGTACAAATATGTTCCGGATAAAAATATAAATAATTTGTATTTTTCTATTTTATTTTATAAGTGAACATTGAGATTCTGCATTATGAAATAAGCTTCAATTCTATTTAAATGCCCTGGATTGTGAGCACTGTTTTGCTATATCTTTTAAATATTGAAAGATTGGCATTTGAATGAAGTTTGCAGACATATGAATGTTTTGTTTATGTAGTTCCTGCTGTTTTGACGGGTTTGACCTATAGCTCAGGAAAATTTGGTATTGACATAAAGATTTAAAGGCAGTGATGCCTCCCATGAACTGGTTGATCATAAGTAAGTCTCTAAAATCTATGAATCTTACTGATAACTCAAATTCAATATATCAGTATCCAAATGCGTTGACTTTTTCCCACTCCCAAAAACAATTTTGTCCTTCTGTTTTTCCTTTTTCCATTAACGATTTACTTTGTTCTACTCATTCCCATTCAAAAGTCCATACTCAATTTTAGTGCTAGAAATATGAGTAATGTCTATTTTCTACAGAATTCACATTATGTAGCTGTGCCTGGCTTAGTGTAGGTTCTCAGTAAATGCTTGTTAAAGGAATTTTTGACCATGGACTTTGAAATCAAAAGCTTTCAACAATGTATCCATTATATTTATATTTTTAAAAAATTTGTGCTGCCTTCACAAGAATGTCTATGTTTTGTCTTCAGATATTAGAAATACTCCATGATAAATTCTCTACCTGCTTCATCATCTTACATCTGCTACTTTCTTTCCACTTCCATGTAGAACCTGGGAGTTTCTATAACCGTTTTTTGTACTCTATGGCTTACCAGTCAATCAGACATCTGGAACATATAGAATGATATCTTCTATGCCATCCAGAATGTTGAGTAAAATCTATTCTTAAATCCAAACTGCTATGCTCGAGTGGTGAGCTTGCTACCGCTAAGATTGAAAAAAATGGAGAAAACACATGTTATCTGAAAAGTAAATTCTTCCAAATATGTGCAACTGTAATAAAAGTTATAGTCTCTTTTTCTCCACCTGGCATTAAATATTTTCTTGTCTAATAATGCTAAATGTAATAAAGAAATTGTAACATGCAGTTTATATCTTCCTATAGTCAAGAAGTTTGGAGACTAAAATGTTACTATTGTGGTGCCTGGGTGGTTCAGTTGTTTAAGTGGCCAACTTCAGCTCAGGTCATGATCTCCTGATTTGTGGGTTTGAGCCTCACATTGTCAGAACAGAACCTGAAACCTACTTCAGATTCTGCACTCCCTTTCTCTCTGCCTTTCCCCCATTCATGCTCTGACTCTCTCTGTCTCAAAAATAAATAAACATTTAAAAAGTTTTAAAAAGGAAAATGCTATTATCATTCGATGACATTTTTTAGCTATAAACACAGTTATATTCCAATCCTTCTTCCCAGACAAAACAAAGACCTCCATACTCTTTATCCAATGAGTTCACTACACTTCAATTATTTTTACTATTTTACAATTATCAAGGTTATCAAAATGCATAATGTATCCATTAATTTTGACCTAACAAGATTCAAAGATATTTTTCATTTCTCTGACATATCTCCTAGTATATGAATAAAACATTCCAAATATTTATTTAAATCTAAATAGAAAGGAATTTACATTTAAATAGAAGGAAATTATTGAATAATATCAGTAAGACTGACACATTTATTCAAATACGCATATACTCCTACACTACATCTTTGTATTAAAGTTTTGACTATAAAACAAAAGATAAAATCAACCAATCATTTCTTCTGAAAAAATATTTATTTTGAAAAATGTTGATACAGAAAGCCAGGGTAATATTAAGTCTAATATACACACTTATACTTTATACTAAATGACCACGCTGCTTTTATTTTTTGATGTATTCCTAAAAAAAGTTATAACCTCAATGACCCAGTTGATCTAGAAATTATAAGTTCTATCATGAAATTTCAATTATCAGACTTACATGGTTGGTGGGCAGCTGGTTCCAAAGAAATCGCTGTTACTGATTATCCATACAGCTGTGATGGAATTTTGTATGGAAGATGAAGAGGTCTGAAAATGGGGTTACTAAATATGGGTGGAATAAAATCATTGCTTATTTAAATAAATTGACATGGAAAATGTATACCATAAATGTATGATAGACATGATTTTGCCTAGGAATAGGTATGTTACTGACCCAAATAATTGTATTAAGAAAGTAGCAATATAAACCTAAAATCTCCATGATTTGAAGAAATAAACAAGAAAATTTAATATGAATACAGTATCTTTAAAATATTTCATACTGGGGCACCTGGGTAGCTCAGTCGGTTGAGCATCAGACTTCAGCTCAGATCATGATCTCACGGTTCGTGGGTTCGAGTCCCACATTGGGCTCTGTGCTGACAGCCAGCTCAGAGCCTGGAGCTTGCTTCAGATTCTGTGTCTCCCTCTCTCTCTGACCCTCCCCTGCTCATGCTGTCTCTCTCTCTCTCTCTCAGAAATAAATAAAACATTAAAAACTTTTTAAAAAATATTTCATATTGTGTCTTATTATAATACATCAATCATGCATGAAAATATATATGAAATTAATTTTTAGCAAAATGGATGATAATAGTACATGCTTCAAAATTTTGTTCTGAAGATTAAATGAGACAACATGTTAAATAACACACCCACTCAGGTACATACATGAACACACACACATGGAACAGAGCTTAGCATACAGTAGTCACACAGAAACAATGTTTATTACTGTTGTTTTATTGTTGCTTCTAAAATTACTATATTAGTATTTCTATCATTACTTTATTATCACTATTGTTGTTATTGTTATTTTTTTAGCATTTTAAATACGCATTTAAGCTATGATATGCTAGAAAAAGAGAAAGTAATATTCAGAATATGAAAGAATATAACTGAGTAAAGAAATTTTGATGTGGTGAATCAGAACTATATTGTGTACTCATTTCCTGGTGAATTTGGTTCTTGAGGCTCACTGGGGGAAACAAATGCAATATGTTGAAAGACACTATGTGGTTTACTTCCCACCCATATACACACACACAGGTGTGCGTAAGAGAGCAAAGCAATGCTCCTTAATATTAAATCAGTCAGCTGAGCTGCTCACAAATTTATTATATTAGCCATTTGATGTTCTAATTAACTAACTTTTTTGTTTTTGGTCTTCTTGACTTTTAAGGACACAGAAATATACATGGAAGAGTCATTGCAAAGTGATCTGACATCTATTACTTTCGGCTGTCATGCCAGTTTAAGGGAGTCCTGTGAGTGTTATCTCACACTGTTATCAAGTTCTTCATGTGCAACACTGAACT